CCCCCCCCCCCCCCCCCCCCACACCCCCGGGAGGGAGGCGCCGGGGGGGGCCCCCCCCCCCCCCCCCCGCCCAGTCCTGCAACACTCTCTGATTGGATCTGCCTCAGGTCACGTTCCCCACCCCTGAGCCAGTTGTTGCAGTGGGGGAGGGGAGGCAATGCATTGATTGGCCAGAGCCTGGAACACATGTTCCACCCTTGTCCTGGGCAGTGAGGCTCCACCCAGACCACCATACCAGCGACTGGGCAGGTAGCCCCCAAACAAAAATCCAGGCTTCTGTGCTGGGATGAGAGGAAATGCAGGCGGGAGCAGTGGAGAACAAGTATTACTCCACCTACATCCCTCTTTGGGGCTCAGTTCCCCCTTTATATTGTTCAACAACTAGAGATCTGTCAACTTCTAAACTGGGATGGGTCCTTGAGATCTCAGTGGGAACAGGAAGATGCAGAAGAGGTTTATGACTCACTCAAAATAATTCCTCTGAGAAGCCGTATAGCTCATTGGCTATGGGCTTGCGCTCAGATTCAGGTGTTTCTGTGTAGTGACTGCGGTTTGGATCCTCACAAATGAGTGCGGTCTGGACTAGCAGCATCAGCATAGCTTAGGATCCGGTTAGAAAGGCAGAGCCTACCACCCAGACCTGCTGGTTCAGCATCTGCAGTTTAGCAAGATCCCCAGGTGATTCTGTTCCTCTGCACGTTAAAATTTGAGAAGCACTGGGTTAGTGCAAGTTTCTTCTATTTCTCAGTTTCTTCGTCTATCAAATAGAAACATTAACAATTCCGTTTATCTCTCAGGATTGTTATTAGAATTAAACAACAGTTTATTCACTTGAAGCACTCAGAATAGTAAATGTGCAATGAACGTGCACTCTTAATTCTGTAGACCTGTAGACATTGGTTATCAGAATAGCACAGAATTCTTAAAACTTTTCTCCTGAAGAATCCCAGTAGATCAGGGTTCGCAAACTTTTTGTGTAAAAGACCAGATAGTAAATATTTTAGGTTCGCAGGCCATACGGTCTGTCACAGCTAGTTGACTCTGCCATTGCAGTGCAAAAGCAGCCATATGGGCATAGCTGTGTTCCAATAAAACTTTATTTACAAAACAGATTTGGTTTGCAGGCTCTAATTTGCAGTGAATTGATCATCTGGAGTCTAGCACACAGCAGTCACAACAAAATGTCTCAGAAATCTCATCCTTCATCTGGAAAGCTTAATTTGAATTTCGCGACTTCATAATATAGCTGGGTTTATTTTAATGTAAGGTTTTTTCCTCCCCTCCCAATCTTCACAGAAAATCGTTGCTCTGGGAAGATGCTCCGTGTTATTCTGTGCCTTTATCTGGCCCCCAGCCCACTGCAGGTGTTGAACCTTTGCAGACACGTGTCTCAACCTAATAAGAGTCAGCTTTTGGAAGTTGGACCCTGAGGACATGCTTAAGGCCTGAGGCCTGCTAGAAATGAGGCTTCCTCTCCTAAGAGACAAAAGAGATAGGGAAGACTTGCTATTAGGAGTCCAGGCTGTGAGGCCATTAGCAGAAATGACTCCTACTCCCAAGGCTCTGTTATTTCATTGGCTCCCAATAGGGAGACAGGGCAGGTGTCCATTTTACAGATGAGGAAAACTGAGGCTCAGAGAGGTTAAGTAACTCGGCCACTGACACTGGAGTTCAGAGCTCCAGCCCAGTGAGTGCCCTCCTTTCTGCTCTGCCAGAATTTGTGCTATTAATTTGTGCTAGAGATGATGTTGGTGTGGTCACGTCCTTCACCCCCTGCTGTGTCCGTGCCCTTTGCCATGTAACTTTGCAGTGTCCTCCAGGAGGAGGGTGAAAGACATGAGGAGCTCAGCCACGCCAGTCTGATCCCTACCAGATCAGCCAACTCCGAGCTGCCCCCAGACATATGAATGAGTCCAGCCCAAATCAGCAGGACTATCTAACTGACCCCACGTAACCCCAGATGTGTGAGCAACGAATCCTCCTCACTGGATGCCACTGAGGGTTTGTGGTTGGCTGTTATGCAGCATTTATTACACCAACAGTAGCTGATACAGTCGCTGAAGGCATTTTGTGAACATCTGGGAACAATAACTCTCCTCTCAGGTCTCTGTCTCTGGGCTCATTGCCAGCTTCGTGAAGGGCTTGTCAGCACAGCCACAGCCTACACCCTCCCCGGTCACTAGAGGACTTCAGTGTGTGAGGGGGTCTTAAGACTTTAGGAATAATAGTAGAATAACATGGTTGTTAGTTGTACCATGTTAGGCTATGGAGTTAGAGTTAGTTATCTGGGTTTCAATCCTGGTGCCCCATTACTAGCTGTGTGATTTGGGGTGAGGTGTGAAACCTCTCTGAGCCTCAGTTTTCTCATCTGTAAAAAGGGATAATAATCAGGGATGTTGGGAGGATTAGATGAGATCATGTATGTGAAGCCCTTGAGTGGTGCCTGGCACACAGATTATTACCAAGGTTTCAATATATGCTAGCCACGGCAACTACTATTAGGCACCCAGTGGCATGCTAGTGGATCATTGGCACGTGGGGTTCTCAGCCTCCCTGGCCAGCCCCTCTCCTCCCCCAGGCAGAAGGTGGAGGAGGGAAGGTCAGTGCCTAAGTTCTTGGTGTCCTTTGCTTCCACCCACCGGTTTGTGACCTCTTGGGCAAAGTCCACAAATCCTTGCTGTCACCCTAGCCAGATCCTAGGGAGTCTTCCCTGAACCCTCCCCTTCCCTGAACCTTAAGCCCCCCACAGTGTGCCTTGGATTTTTTCTCCTAACATGGGAGGAGAGATGGTGCATTAGTTTCCTTTTTTTGGGGGAGCTGACCGATAAGGTATCCGAACCCTTGACTTCGGTGTTATCATAGTTTCCTATTGCTGCTGTGACAAATCCCCACAAACACAGTGGCTACAACCATACGAATTCATTACCTTGTAGTTCTGGGAGTGCACATTAGTCTAGCTGGGTTAAAGCCAAGGCGTTGGCAGGGCGGTTTCGTCTGGGGCTCTAGGGGAGAACCCGTTCCCTTGACTTTTCCAGCTTCCAGAGGCTGCCACGTTCCTTGGCTGGCAGCCCCTTCCTCCATCTCAAAGTCAGGTCTCTCTGACTCTGAACCTGTTTTCGTCCTCACATCTCCTTTCTGACTCTGACCCTCCTGCCTCCCTCTTATAAGGACCCCTGTGATCACACTGGGCCCACCCTGATAATCCAGGATAATTACACCATCTCAAGATTCGTAATTTGATCGTATCTGCAAAATCCCTTTTGCCATGTAAGGCAGCCTGTTCACAGGTTGCGGGGGTGGCGTGGGGGGAGCATCATTCCATCTACACAGACAGCCACTGATTCTTGGGCACAACAGTGCATCTTGTCTCCAAATACAAGAATTTTACACTCTGTTGAACAAACAGAACTGTGGCTTCTATCTCACCATGTGTTAGCAAATAAATAGTAGTTTTGGTAATTCAATCACATTCCTGAAAGTTTACGTAGATTTGGGGCTAGGGGCTGCTATTCAACATTATACTTAAGCCTCTTAAAATCGAATATTTCCCTTTTCTCCTTTTCATTATGGCTTCAGTCCTAGCCACATTATTTCTGGTCTAGAATGTTACAGTTTCTAACTGGCCTCCCTGCCTTCACTCTTTCATATATATATAGCAATTTTAATCAACACATTGTAATCGCACATGCTTATGGGGTACTATCTGATGTTTCGGTATATATGCACATATGTCGTATGATAATCAGGTCAGGTAGTTAATGCATCAATCACCTCATGCATTTATCATGTCTTTGTGGCAAAACCATTCAAAGGCCTCTCCTTACCTGCTTCCACTCTTGCTTGCTCCACACCACCCTCCACACGGCCACGTGAACACATCAGTGTGGACATCTGACCAGCGACCATTTCTCCATTTAAAACCCTATCACGGCTCCCCCTGCCCTCGGAATGAAGTCCCAGCCAGTTCCTACTTCAGCATGAGGGAGGCCTTCGTGAAGGGCTCTGCTCATTCTCCAGCCACTTTCCCCTCCTTGCTAGGGTGACCAACTGTCCCCGTTTGCCCAGAAGTATTCCAGTTTTAGCACTGAAACCTGCACGTTGGAAAACTTCTCAGTCCAGGGCAAACCAGGACAGCCAGTTGCCCTAGCCCTGCCCTCACTTGTGCTCTGGCAGCACTGGCTGCTGGTCCTCTACTACTTTGCTCAGGTTGTTAAAGTGACCCCTTTTGTTGTTTCTGGGGGTTCTGATTGGAAATGTGCGAAGTTACAGGTAACTGCAAACATGCTACAATGGCTAAAACACATGCAGACTTTTTTCCACATGGTGAGACAGTCACAGGAGGATGGTTGCCAATGTCAGATGGCTACCTTGACTACACCTGACCTGACAGCGCTGCTGTTCTCTTGGCCACAAGAGGGCTGCCTCAGCTCCAGGCATCACGTCTGTATTCCAAAGTAGGAAGAAGAGGAAGGAGCAGTATCAGCTGTGTCAGACTCTTCCTATCAGAGAGCAATTGCTTCTCCAGTAGACTTCTCCTTACACGGCAGGGCGGGAGAGCATGGTGGTCACGAGCATAGGCTCTGGAGCCAGATTACCAAAGTTCAATCCCAGCTCCACCACCTTCTAGTTACACTAACTTGGGATGTCACTAACCCTCTCTGGCCTCAGTTTTTTTGGGGGGGATCAAGATAATAAGTGTAAAACCCATAGAATGCTGCCTAGCACATACTAAGTGCTCAATAAATGTTAGATATTATTTAATTATTATACCTTACAGGTCACAACTGAGTCCCATAGCTCCCTTACAAGGGACACAGGGACAGTAAGCATTTAGCATTTATAACCTTCAGTATACAGACAGGCACAGAAGAAGATGTCTGGGAAAGAAGTTTGGGTCAAGAAAACAGCAGTGCCTTCTGTACTTGGGTACCTGCTCTTCAAGCATTAAGACTCAGCTTGGGCACCACCACCTCCAGGAAGTCATCCTGGATTCTTCTTGCCAGCCAACACTGGTTTAAGTGTGCTGTTTCTGTGCTCCTGGTCTGTATTCCTGTTTTCCCACGTACACCAGGAAATTCAAAGATCTGTTTAGGGGTCTGTCTCCTGCAGAGCAGGGATCTTGTCTGAACCACCCCTGAATTCCCAGGACCGAGCTGGTGCTGGGCTCCTCATAGGCCCCACTGCTTGTTCAGTAAATAAAGTCTTTCATGAGGATTGACTTGGCATTGTGGGGGTGTGGGAGGCATGCCACAGTTCCCACCTCTGGGAGGCCAGAGGGCAATGGGGTGACTCCCGGGCCAAACAGCAGCAGCTGTTAGCTGTGGGCCCTCCTGGCAGGAGGTCAGCGGCGGGGGTGGGGGCATCTCTGTAGATCAGCACATTTTCAGGAGTGCCCCAGACCAGGGACCCCGTGTTGAGGGTCAGGATCCCCACCTGGCATGTCCCTTACTGGATGCTGGGTCACTGCCATGTTCAGTGCCACTTGCCCTCTGGTCAGGCTCAGGAGACCTTTCCCCTCCTGAGACTCGTGGCTTGGCTCATGTGTTCCTGGCTGTCTGTTCCTGTGACCTGGCCCAGCTCTTTCTTTCTGTGCTTTTCTCAAATCTTTGTCCCCTGAGGGCAGGGCTGGGGTCTCCTCCTCCTCCTCCTGCACCCTCACCATGCCCAGCAGAACTCACTCCTCAACACTCCTCAAATCAGACAGCCCAGGCGCCCAGCAGCCATGGGGACTGTGCCAGGTGGGGGATCTGCTAGAGAGCTCCTTCCTTGGTTAGCCAATGGTTGTCCCTGAGCTCTGGGTGACCTCCTGTGGCCTGGCGTCTCTGGGCTGGGGAGACTGCCCTTGGGGAGATCCCATCTTCCACCTGCAGCTGGGGGGCATTGAGGGCCCACCAGACCCCTCTGTGGAGGCAGGATCAGAGAAGCAGGTGATGGGATGAGGTCAGGCTGGCTCACAGCTCATGAGATGGAGCGGGCAAGTGTCTGGTAAGTCCTTAACTCCTATCCCCGCAGGCTACTCACATGGCCTCCTGTGATCCTCCCACCCCCATCATTACCCCGGCAGATCCCTCCAAGGCCTAGCCAGCCTGGCTGAGGTTGGTCTCTCTCGGATCCCTGGTTTGGAAATGGGCAGCCCCTACAGAGCCTGGGCACTGACAGGGGAGGTGCAAGTCAGGAGTCCAGGCAGCTGAGGGCGAAGGAGGTTTATTGCGGTTGCAGGGATTTGCTGCCGTGGCTCCCAAGGATGGATCACAGCTTCATTTTCTGGAGGAGTGGAGAACAGTGTGAGGGAAACTGCGGGTGACACCTCCTGGGGCAGACAAGGCCCTGCCAGGAGAGTAGGTCCATGGGGAGCCACAACCACAGCCCCCAGCCTTTACCAGCCAGCCTCGTCCCTGCCCAAGGGGTCTGAGTCCCCCAGCATTTCAGACCGCTGTGTAAATGGGGCTCAGGACACATTCTGTCCCCAGTGTGAAAGCCCCCAGCCCATGGTGCCCCTCTGTTCCCCACCCCTCAGGATGATAAATGGCCATCCACGCCACCCCCTCTCCTTTGCGGGGCCCAGCTCTCATGGGGCAATGTTTCAGCTTTGAGGGGACTGGTCTGATGCTTAGATGGGGATATGAGTATTCACTGAAGCCTGTGGATAAATGGATGGAGGAGTTAATGACTGTGTCCTTCATCGCACCCCTCTCAAGGCCTGCTACGGTGAGTGCTCAGATATGCTTCTTGAATAAGTGAGTGGATGTATGAATGAATGAGTGAGAGAGGGAATGTGCGAATAGGTGCACGGATGAACGGTGGAATGAGCAAATGAATGAACGAGTGAATGAGTGAATGAATGAATGAAGGAGTGAGTGAAGGAATGGGTGAGCGAGGGGGAGGGGCTGACGGGGGCAGGAGGGAGGCGCGGAGGCGGCACCCACCTTCTTGATCCAGTCGATGTAGGTGGACACGCGGGTGAAGACTGTGGGCTTCTTGAAGGTGTTGCAGCCCAGGCTGGAGCCAAAGCTGACGATGCCATGCACCTCCCAGGAGCCGTCCTCGGCCTGGCAGTTCAGAGGGCCGCCCGAGTCCCCCTGCACCAGACCAGGTAGGCATCAGCCACCAGGCCTCCCCCAGAGGTGGGCTTGGGGAGCAGGGTGGGCTGGGGTGGGGGGCGTGGGTTGGCTTCTCAGCCTTGGTACCCCCTTTTAGACTTCAGCCTGCCCATGGTGAGGGAGGCAGAGAAAATGTGGTTTGGGGCTGCCTTGGCCTTGGTCTGGGAGGTCCTGGGATGTCAGAGTAGCTCTTGGTTTGCTGTGTGATCTTGGGATGATGCTAACCCTCTCTGTGCCTCAGTTTCCCTAGCTGTTCAGGTCACCATGTCTCTGTGAGCTGCCCAGAGAGGTGAGGATGCCGGGAGTCATATTGGAGGCCTGGGAAGGTAAGGAAGGTGGGAGTTGGGAGAGGGTTGTGTGCTTGAAAACAGGACAGTCCTTGGTTATCTGACTTTTTTATTTTTTTAAAAGATGACCGGTAAGGGGACCTTAACCCTTGACTTGGTGTGGTCAGCACCACACTCTCCCAAGTGAGCGAACTTGCCATCCCTATATGGGATCTGAACCCGTGGCCTTGGTGTTATCAGCACCACGCTCTTCCGAGTGAGCCAGGGGCCGGCCCTCTTGATTGTCTTAGATAGTTCATGGTTCTGTTAGACTGCCTGAGTCCCCTGTCTCCCTGGGCTGGTGGAGCTGACGGCAGGGGGAACACATGTAGAGACTTTAATGAAGCCTCTTCTATGCCCATTAGACTCACTTATTCCTCACATCAACTCTGTGAAGTGGTTACTATGGTTCCATTTTATAGATGGGAAAACTGCGGTTCAGAGAGGTTCGACAGCCTCCCCAAGGTCACACAGCTAATAAATGCTGGGGCCGGAACTTGAACTCAGCTACTCATGCTCAACTCTGCTGCTCTCACCACATTGCTGGGGGAGGGGAATGGGAAGCGGTGGGTTGGGGTCGCAGGTCTCCTGTAAGCCTGTTGGGCCCAGCTAGGGCTCAGTCTCCTCCCTGGAAAGGGCTTGCTCAGCTCACCCTCCTTCACTCTCCCCACTGCCCCAAGGCACTTGGCCACCTGGAGCAGGGACGGATGCAGGGTCCAGAAACTCACATTGCAGGCTGAGGTGACACCATCACCCCCGGCACGCACCATCTTGTCCGTCACCATGAAGCCCCACCAGTCACTCTTGGTGCATGTGGCATGATCCACCACAGGCTTCAGGCCCTGCTGCAACTCATCAGCATGGGGCCATTGGCTGGGGAGAGAGTGGCTGGGACCAAGGAGTCAGCCCGGGCGGCGCCAGCCTCAGCCCAGGCCTCCAGGAACAGAGGGCTGCGACAGGACACAGGTGAGTTCTGGCTGGGACTTAGTGGGAACCACACACATGCCCTTAATCCAGAGGCCAGCCAATGGTCCCAAATTGTTTGCTTCAGGATCCCTTGAGGGTGGGGAAGGGGAGCAGGCTGGAGGCAGAACTAACGAACACAAGTGCTCCAGGAATAACTGTTGAGTTGAGTTGTCTTTAATTTGGATTCTGGGGGGATTTAATTGTCCATCATTTCCTTGCAGGTCTCTACCTTCGGTATAGCATATTAAAAGGTCTTTTTCACTCCAAGATTTTCTTTTTTTTTTTTAAAGATGACTGGTAAGGGGATCTCAACCCTTGGCTTGGTGTTATCAGCACCGCACTCTACCGAGTGCGCCATAGGCCGGCCTTCACTCCAAGATTTTCTTTTTTTTTTTTAAAGATGACTGGTAAGGGGATCTCAACCCTTGGCTTGGTGTTATCAGCACCGCACTCTACCGAGTGAGCCATAGGCCGGCCTACACTCCAAGATTTTCTAAGCATTGATCTGCGTTTTCCACTAAGTCTTTGTAGCTTCATTTATTTGCATTTAACTTTTAATTCAGCTGGAATCTATTTGGGCATATGGTATACCATAAGATCTAATCCTCCACCCCCAAATGGCTTATTTTAATTTATTTATATGGCACTTATGGGTGCCAAGCCCTGTTCTGAGCATTTGGCATATTCTAATCCATTTAATTCTGACAACACCCCTTATATGCACTTGTTAGAGTGTCTGGCATATGGCATGTGCTTAATAAATATTAGCTATTATTATTACGAAGTTTTAAAAGATGCAAAAATGTTTAGGCAAAAAGGAGAAGTGGTGGGCAGATATGGGAGGCATGCTGATTGTGGGTGCTGCTTCCTCCAGGAAGGCTCTGGGGATTTGCCAGGGGCCGTACTCACTCCAGAGGAGGCCCCAGCCAGTGACATAGCGGGGGTAGTTCTGAGGCAGCAAGGAGCCCTCCTCCGGCAGGCAGGCCACCTGGATGGTGTCACTCAGCTCCACAGGCTCCGCAAGCTTGATGAGTGCAACGTCATTGCTGGAATCCAAAGTGGAGAGAGTGAGTGGGCAGAAGGTCCCGGCCCCACAAGCCAGCGCTAAGAGGCTCAGGCTGCAAGTTGGGAGGCAGGCCACGCGGGCCAGGGGTCCACCATAAACATCCTGCCCGCCAGCTGCTTATTGGCTTTCAACATGTTGGAGGACAAATGATCTGCCTTCTAACATGATCACCTACCCCATTAGACGTGTAAAAGGTTTAACAAAGGGGATACTGGAGAGGAAGCATTCCAAATCACTGCTGGTTATGTATTGACCAGGATAAGCTAGAGCAAATTGGAAATTATATTCATAAAAGAGGGGCGTTTGCAGATGCCATTTCTAATATTTTTATGTTACCAGAATGAGAGCTGCAAACCCAGATAGGCTTGGTTTGAGTCCTAGTTCTACCCTGCACTGGGCTGTGTGATCCAGGACGTATTCCTCAACCTCTCTGAGTCTTTCTTCCTTGACCAGGGCTGTTGTGAGGGTTACATAAGAGATGGCATTTAAAGTGCTTACTGCAGTGTGGGCATGCAGTGGGCACTCAATAAAGGTGTCTTGGCTCAGCCTCTGGCTGGGTGACTTTAGGCAAGACCCTGTGGGGCCTTGGGGTCTTTATTCCAGGGACCCTTGGCCAGTGATGGGAATGGGAGGCATTTTGACATTGCTTAAAAGAGTCATCTGCTGGCTGTTGAGGGTTAGGATGGGGTGGCCGGTACGTGTGGGGCAGGCTGTACAGCTCTGTCTCAGCAACCCCTCCCTCTGCACTGCCCCCAGGGGCCGTGAGCTGGTCAGCCGGGCATTCACCGCACCAGCAAGGAGTTCCACTTCTCGTGGACATAGATGGTGTCCACACCCATGAGCAGGGAGCCTTCCTCATCTTCCACCAGGTTCTTCTTCCCCAGGGCCACACGGTAGGTCCGAGTGTTGCTGGGCCGAGGAAGAGGACCTGGCCAGAGAGGCCTCCTGTTCTTGCCAGCCAGTGGCGTAGAAAGGGAACTTGGTGCTTTGGTGACCCAGACCCATGGCCACTGTGGGACTCATTGGAAGAAGGGAATGTCTGTCCCCATGACCCTTCTTAGGGCATGGGGAAAGGACCTAGGACTTGGAGTCAAGGGCCTTGGGTTTGTGTTGTGGCCTTGCTGCTCCTAGCTGGGTAACCTCGGGCCTCAGCTTCCTCATCTGTACGGTGGAGGTGAAATTGGAACTTACCTCCATGGCTGCTGTGAGAATAAACTAATCCTCGCTGCCATTGCCTCTGGCCTGTATTATTGCCATAGCCACCACCGCCTCCGGGTTCTACCCCGGCCTCTCTCCTGTCTGTTCTTACCCCGGCAGTATGAGTCTGCTAGAATATATGTTAACCCACATCCCTTTTCTGCGCCCAAATCCTTCCAGTTGCTCCATCTCAGGGTCAAAGCCAAAGTTCTTACACGGACCTGCATCATCAGGTGCTCGTTGCCTCTTTGACCCACCTCCTCCTGCTCTCTGCTCCCACACTCTGCTCCTGCCACACCGGCTTCCTGGGTACCTCTGACCACACCAAGCAGGCTCCCGCCTCCAGGCCTCTGCCTTGTCTGTTCCCTCCACCCGGAACCCCCGGCCCCCAGATCGCTGATTTCCTCCCTTACTTCCTTCAGGTCTTTGTTCCAGTGTCCCCTCTTTAGAGAGGTCTTCCCCTGGCCATTTCATTTCAAATAGAGACCCTTGTGCTTTTATCCTCTTCCGGCCTTAGTTTTCTTTATTACCACTTGATAGGTGATATACAAGTGTCTGCTTGCTTAATTGCACTTTGCTCTGCCTTCCACTAGAATATAAGCTCCCTGAGAGCACAGACTTTGTCTTTCTTCGCTGCTGTGTTCCCTAGTGCATAGTAAGTGCACACTAAATGCCTGTTGACTGAATAAATGAACTGAGTAAGTAAGTAGCATATTTGGTTGGCCCAGTGCCTAGAGTGTGTAGTAGGTGCTTAATAGAAGCAGCTCATCAGACTCCCTCTCAGGGTGTGGCCGGGTCTCTGGGGTGTCGTCCCCGCTCACCTGATGCAGTGGGCAGCAGTGAGGACGAAGCTGTTGGTGATCAAGGTTCCGCCACATGTGAGCTTCCATTTGTCATCATTGAGGTACTGGAGGGAGATCTGGAGGAGTGTGCAGAAGGGCCACGTGTCAGCCCACAGGTCCCTGGGGATTCTCACCCCACCAGCTTCTCCATCCCTACCTCCCGCCCCCAGCATGCTTACCTGCCAAGGCCAGCTGTGGGGCTTGGCATTGTCTTGGCCCACCACTCGGGCTGACAGGTTGGGCAGGACGCTGGGGACCCCACAGCTTGAGGCTGGGGGTGGGGGGAGGGGAGGGAGGAGCAAAGATGAGTGGAGCTGGCCTCCCCATTGGGGAAGGGGCAGGGGGGTGGGCAGAGGGAAAGGGGAAGCCGCCTAATTCTCTGAGCCTCAGCTTCCCCTTCTGTGAAATGGGAAGAACACTAACCTGGTGAATTCGTCCTGGTAGCTAAATTAGACAAGGTATGCAAAGAGTTTACAAAAGGCCCAGGACAGAGTGGATGCATTGGCAGAAAAGAAAGGTGGTCTGGTGTGTGTGTGAGTGCCTGGGCACGCCTGTGTCTTCTGTTCCTTTTTAGGTGTACTCGTTTCCTCTCTAACTCACCTCCACCTGCTCTCTCTGGGTACAGCATATTATTCAGCATAACTGGCTTGGTGGGGGGATGTGTGTGAACATTAAATCCACAGAGTTCCTGACTGTCATAGCTGGGATGCTGCGTGGAGCCGTCAAGAGCATGTACTCCACTGTGCCCAGCCATGGGATACTGGGCAAGGTACTGAGCCTCACTGAGCCTCAGTGTCCTCATCTGTAACACAGAGATATTAATAGACCCTCCCTCTCAAGCTTGTTTTGAAGATCGAATTAGGTCCTGCAAAGTGCCTGGCACATAGTAAATGTGCAATAAACAGAAGCTGCTATTATTACTGTTGTTGTTTTTAGCTGGAAGGACTAGTCAAGTGCTCTCATTTGCCACAAGAGCCAGTGGATTTAGAGAGGTAAAGGGACTTATCCAGGTCCTGCAGAGAGTGAGTGGCATTTAAGCCAAGCCCCTTGATTCCTAATTTGGGAGAACTCCACCAAAATGAGGGAGCAGAGAATCCAGGCAGGCCCCGATGGTCCCTGGAGTGAACCCAGGATGAGACATCTACCGTGTCCCTGGCCCTTGCTTGGTGCTTTCCACACCTCGTCTCTAATCCTCAGCGACCTGGGGAGGTCAGATCATCATCCCTATTTTGCAGATGTGGAAGCGGAGTTGCCAGGCGGGAAGTGGCTCGTTGGACCCACAGCTGGTGAGGAGCCTCTGAATCCACGTTGGACCCCAAAGTGCCCTTCCTGCAGAGCAGAGGGCTCCCTGTTCCTGTCCTTGTCCCCAAGAGGACAGCTCGAGCTCACAGCCTGCTGGCTGCAGCTGGTCCCCACCCCCCAGCTTACCGCAGGCCAGGAACGTGACAAGGGCTGTGATGCCCAACATGGTGTCGAGATGGGCAGGGGCACACTTATAGGCAGGAGTTGGGGAGTCCATCTGGTCAAGGCTGAGTCCCATCCCCCTTGGAGAACAACCTGCTCCGGCAAGGTCCTTTCCCTGACCTTGGGTGGTTACTGTTTAATTTGGGCAGGAATGGGGCTTCTTGGAAGCATGGATTTTTCAAATACCCTTACAGCAAATTCTGAACTGCAGGGTTTTTACCTGGAGTGTGGTCTCATTCTCTCTCCCTACCTTATTCTTTTTAGTTATTATTTATTGGGCACTTACTATGTGCCGAGCACTGTGCTCATGCTTAATTTCTTCCTGCATTATCTCACTTAACGCTTCCAACAACATGAAGTAGATACTATTATCTGCTCTTTAAAGATGAGGAAGCTGAAATTCAGAGGGTAAGTGACTATCCAGGGTCACACAGTCGGGCAGCAACAGAACCAGGCTTTTTTTTTTTTTTTGTAAATTTTATTCTTTGTTGTTGTTTGCATGTGTGTATTGGGTTGAACAGAGCCAGGCTTTGCAGTCAGCGCTTCTCACACCAGTCTGGGGCTTCAAACTGCTCAGATACACTGCTTCCTTCTCTGTCTACATAGTGCCCTGTTGCTTTCTGACTTTTTCTTTCTCCCTCATTCTTGTAATATTGCCTGGGCTTGGTGCTCTCCTGCACCTGCTCCCAGCGCTGTGGGTGGGGGCTGAGGCTCAGCAGACCCTGGAAGGAGCTTGGTTGGCCAAATTCCTATCTGGAACCAGCTTAGTAGGCCCTCAGTGTTCCCATCTCTAAAATGGGTGGGTGGGACCAGATGGACTCTCAGGCTCCTTTCAGTCCTAAGACTTCATGACTTCAATGTCAAGGACAGTGGCAGATGTGAATTTGTGACCCTTGATGTGGCTTCAAAGCACTGTGTTCCAAAAGTTCTATCCAGAGTCCCCAGCATTTGGGTGTCAGCCCATCCCTTGGAGGATGTGGTTTAATCTGTTTGCCCCAAGGCCCGACCCGAGCCCGGTTGGTTAGATTCTGCTCTTCCTTCCCCTTTCTGCTCACCCTGAGTTGTCCTTGTCAGTCGTTTTCTGAGCTGGGTCCACTGGTCACCTTAGGAACCATTTCAGGTAAAGAAGTTCAGGACACATTCTGCTGTTATTGGTGGTTATCTGGGGGGTGAAGACAGATTCTAACTTAGATATTTTTATACAGATTAAATTCTTTTTTAAAAGGAGCATGTGTTCCTTTGGTAATGTAAAAATTAACATGTTTCACACAGAGATAGGGACTGTATGTGTGTTGGGGTTTGTCCTGCTGTGAGGACCTCAGGCCCAAGGCCTGGGGTGTTTGGGGCCCTCAGGCTGTAGGGAGCTTTCAGTTCCATCTCGAAGCCGGTCCTGATAGAGGGGTCATTGGGACCCAGAGCCATGGTTTGCTAAGCCTGCAAAGGGTCATCTTGGCCTGGGAGCTGACACCATACATGAGTGCAACAGACTGAGCTAGGGGACAGGTCTTGGGAGTTAGTAGGGTCTGGAAGCAGAGGAAAGATGCCTGGTTTCCATCTGTCAGTGACTGGCTGGATAACCTCAGGACCTGGGCAACCTCTCTGGGCCTTTATGTCCCTTGAGCAACCTGGGAAATGACTAACTGGTCTTTTATGTGTCAGAGCTTGTCAATTTGCATTCAGAGAGATAAAGCAATTTCTTAATGTCCATCTCAGCTATATGTACTTGCCTATAGATACCCAAGAATACAGGCACAGGCAGACACCCACCCCCACACCCCCACGCCTCCATATCTGTAGACAGGCACACGCCAATGTCATATATTTAAAGCATTCAGTTTTATATAGACTCATGCAGAGCCATGTGCCACCCATTCAAACATGCACAAAAACACAGAAATAGCCACAAATGTATTGCCAGTGACATACCAGATGAAGAGAGTTATTATTATTTGTATAAACGTTCACAGAGAAACTGACCTTTTTGGAGGGAGGTTGCTGGCTGCTCTTGAAGGTGCAGACAGCATCAGCTTTAGGGGAACTTCCTTGTTTTGAGACATCTACCAGGTGGGGCCTTTTACTTAAGGCCAGCACCAAAAAATTGCCCCTGCAGAGAACTGAGATCATCTTAGTCTGCTTCAGATGCTGAAGATAGCATGTTGAGTGCTTTGCTTAGGTTGGACTATACCCAGGAAGGAGGGAAAACCCAGCACCATTGCTTCCTAGCTGTGTGACCTTATGCTAGTGACTCAACCTCTCTGTGCTCTCACTCCCTAATCTATAAAGTGGGAATAAAAATGGTGCCTGCCTCCTAGGGCTGTTGGGAGGAGTGCCTGGCATATGGTAACCCTATGTGTTTACTGTTATTATTATTATTGTCTTTGTTGTTGTCACCTAGTTCTTACCAGAAAGCTTGAGTTTGGACTGTCACTGGGAACGTTTGCTTTCATGGGCCCCTTCCTCCACCCAAAATATTTAAAATTATGTTTTTTTTTTTTTTTTTTCCTTTTTGTCTTTTTTCGTGTCCGGCAACGGATCGCAACCCTCAGTGTCACACCCATACCGGACTGGGACCGGCAACGGGATCGCAACCCTTGGTGTTGCTCCCGCACCTCGCTCAGCCAGTGAGTGGGAACCGGTCTGTATGTGGGATCCGAACCCTCAGCGGGAGCGCCACTGCGCTCCCAAGCGGCGCACTGTAGCAGTGCGCCACCAGGCCGGCCCTAAAATTATGTTTTATGTGTATATAAGTGTAAAGATGAATATAATCCAGTTTGGTTATATTCATTTTTTTACTTCCGATTTTCTTACTTATTTGGTGGCTGGCTGGTATGAGGATTTGAACCCTTGACCTTGGCGTTATAACACTGCTCTAACCAACTGCCTACTGATTTTAAAGAAATCAAAACATTTCTGTGGGCCCCCAGAGGTACCGTAGGCTTCAGGCAGTATGCCCACTGCACCTGACGGATGCATGGACATTGGCTGTGGCCCCCTCCATATGAGAGGTTACTTGTAAATGGCTGAGAGAGATTTGGGGGAATGCTCTGTGGATTATCCTGAGCACTTTTCCTGAGCCCTGGAGGTGCCTTTAGCTGTGCCCTGGGACAGCCAGGAGAAAACCGTTGTTGCTGGGAGCAACTGGGCAGGGGCAGGAGCTGCCTCTGAGCATGTGTGCAGCTGGTGCCAGCCCCTCCTGACTCCTCCTGACCCCAGCCCTGGGGCAGGGAGCAGCCGGTTAGAGGATGCCATTACCCCAGTGCCCAACTGCCTAAGATACAGTAGTGATGCTAGGTTGGCTGACCTGATTTTCTGGCCAAGATAACAGGTCTGAAGAAGCAGCCCTAGGGGTTTTTTTGGATATGTGCAGAGTGGAGCCCTGGGAGAGTGGATTTCCTGTGATTGGTGGTTGGAGGCTTGGAGTTGGATTAACTTGCATATTTAAAGGTGTGAGTTTTGTTTGCCTAAACTGCGAGGCACCGACATACCTTATACACAGAAAATATTCATTCATTCATTCATTCCTCCCACACTCACTGAGCACCGACCATGTGCAGGCCCTGTGCTAGGACTGGGGATACAGGGATGACAAGACCCCGTTCAGCACTGGAGGAGCTTCCTGCGGGACAGGGTGATGTCTTTGGAGAGATGGGCCAAGGGCTAGGAGCTCCATGTGAGAAGAGATTTGTTGAGTGGAAGCTTGATGGAGTGCAGGTTGGGAAAGGATTCCTTCAAAGCAGATTCCATGTCCAGAGTGAACTTGAGGATTTGAGAGTGTGAAGATGCTTGAATCCATACATCCATCCCATGGAACCCCAGGATTTCCAGGGTCTGGAGTGGGGCCTCCCAGGACCTGAGACCTCAAAGTCCATGAGCCCCTTGGGGCCAGATGGTACTGGAAAAATAATCTTGGGTGACCTGATGGAGGCTGAGCTGAGGGGTGGGGTGGGTGGTCAGAGATGCCCCTGGGCCTCTGCAGAAGCAATGCAAAGTTGGGAGTGGAGGGGGTGGGGTGAAAGCCTGAGAAATGGGGCAGGTGCACTGGCTGGGGTTTGAATTTTCTGGCCACAGGGATGGGACTCTGGGGTGGCAGCTGTTATGTTTCTGGTGAGGCCCAATTAGGGGGCCGGCTGAAGGGCTGGCAGAGCTTCTCAAAATGAGATAGAAGTACTGGGGGTTTAGTTGGGGGTTCGGGGTTTGGTGATGGGGCCTGAACTCAGTGCAGGGGAGGCTAAATGAGAGGGTGGGACTTGGGGAGGGTTTAAAGGAGCCATTTCTCTTGGTCCCTGCATCACTCCAGGCCTCTTTATTCCTGAATCTGCTTCCTCTGCCTGGGCTGGGAGTGGGAGTCCTATGCAGGCTGAGGCTGAGGGCCTGTCGGTGGAGGGCCCTGGTATGGACAGCCAGTCCCCGTCTCTCACGTTCCAAGGGCTTGAGCCCATGTCCACTGCCAGGCCACGGGGCTCGAGCTCTGGAGCTGGAATTTGAGCCCTTCTCTTTCAGTACCCTTTGTCCCTTGTTACTGAGACCTTCTCCAATAGGATGCTGGAAATTCTGATGGTTTTCCCTTGGAGAAAGTTATTAAAAGACAATGCTTACTTAACCTAAAATCTTGCATTGATAGAGGTGGCATCTCGGGCATTGGGTAGCATGCGGGGGTATGTGCCCTAGGAAATACACTGGGAGGATGCAGCTCTCCCCAGGCAGGGCCTGAGAGGAAGCCAGAGGGCGTGGGGCATCCTGGCTGCTGTAGTACCACCCCTGACCACCCGGGGGCAGTGACCCCCAGCCTAATCCTAAAGTCACATTCCCCCACCTCACTTCAGGTTGTGCCTGGGAAAGCGGGGTGCCCTGCCCCAGGGGAAACCACAGGGCTAGGAAGGCCCCTAGCCCACCCTCCTATTGAAAAGATGGGGAGACTGAGATCCAGTTGGCACCTGATTTGTCCAAAGCCGCACAGGGAGCTGCTGTTGTCCACCCTGCTTGCCATCCCACCACCCCTGGGGTAATTTCCAGCCTGTTCAAGACTTTGGGTGTCTCTGTGTGTGGCAGGGGGTGCTTAGAGGGCTCTAGGGTGCACCCACCAGAATCCCCTTGGCTTTAATGCCACTATGTTGTGTGCCACGGCCCCGTGGAGATGCAGCTCCTCCTCCCTGAACTCTTGAGGCAGGGTTGCTAAATGGTTAGGGCACAGGCTGTGATCTCAGCATCCTGCTGCCCCACTTGCTTGTGTGCCTCTGGGAGACTTTCCAGGCCTCCCCATACCTGCAAAATAGGAATAAAAATATGACCCTCTACGTGGGCTGGTTGTGAGGATTATATGAATTAATATATGTAAAGCGCTTAGACTAGTGCCAGGTAATGGTGTGTGGCACCAAACACTAACCAACCTTCCATTTGGAAGAGTCCCCTCTTCTCCCAGGCTTCTGACGTGATTGCCCCAGGTGACCTCATCCCTGTCCCCTCCTTTCCCAGCCCTTCCCCTCCCCCACTAACCATCAAGAACCACACAGACATGAGAATATAGAATTTTATCTTATTTTAGTTAAAAAAAATAATCGTACCACCGAATGAAGAAGTAGCTTTTTTTTTGGTGAGAAGGGAGGAATAAAAATAAAAAGCAAAAAGCCAACAGAAAAGAAAATTTTATATTCATCTGTATAAACATATCCACTAAGGCAAACGCAATCCAGGGCCAAGGCTGCTGCTGCGCTGGGCTCAGTACCTCCTAATTTCTGCAGATTCTAAGGCCAAAAAAATAAAACCTCTGCAAGCCCAACGGGAGCTTCGTGGACTGTTGGGGCATTTTACTAAAATAAAGAGTTATTGAGTTTAAAAAGCAGTGATGCTGTTATGACACACACTGAAAGTTGCATAACTGTGGCCTCGATGGCCGTTCACTTGTTGGGACTGGGTGACAATCACAGTTTCACGACACAGCAACAGACACACACACGTGAGCGTGCACATGGGGAGCTGCGGTGATGGGCAGGGGGGGACCCCCAGGGGGTGGGCATGACAGGCAGGTCCCGTCGCCGGTGACAAGGCGGGGGGCATCACTTGGGGAAGGATGACACACACTGAAAGTTGCATAACTGTGGCCTCGATGGCCGTTCACTTGTTGGGACTGGGTGACAATCACAGTTTCACGACACAGCAACAGACACACACACGTGAGCGTGCACATGGGGAGCTGCGGTGATGGGCAGGGGGGGACCCCCAGGGGGTGGGCATGACAGGCAGGTCCCGTCGCCGGTGACAAGGCGGTGGACATCACTTGGGGAAGGATGATGAAAGGGCTGAGCCCCGCTCCTGACCGCCCGGTGCATGCAACACACTTAAAGCACTTCTTGGACGCTTCCCAGAGAACCGAGATGAAGCGCTGGCTTCCTTCCCTATGAAGGTGCCAATTTCACCTCCCACCCTACTCTCTCCAGAGCCCTGGGGACCCTCAGGTTGTTCTGTGGGTGCTAGGGAGTGATGTTTCTGCCCCCCAGAGACTTCCCTGCCCATGACCCCACGGCATGCCCATCAGAGTTGTGTGCCTATGAGGTAGATTGGCACAGCTGCCCCTCACCCTGCCCGGCCGGGCTCAGTGTCCCCATCAGCATGGGGTGCCAGGCACCTGGGTCCCTTCACCAAAACAGAAGCTCCCCACCCACCACCATTCCAGCAGATAGAAGAGGCAGAGCTGGAGGAAAAGGTCTTGGGGAGGGGCCCCCTCATGCCTCCGATAAGCCCCTCGGGTCCTGCTCTATGGAGGTGGCCGCAAGTCTTCCCATCTCTGATGCTCCCCTGTCTGGGAAGGGGCTGTTGGAGGTCTCCAGGGGCAGCGTACCTGCTGGTTAAGGGCAGGTGGCCCCTGGGCAGGGAGGGGGGACATGTGTGGAGGGCAGGCACAGGGGCAGGAGGGGCCTAGAGCCGGAGCTGGGCCTGGAGCAGGCAGTAGGGCAGCCAGGGTGTGGGAGGGACGCGGGGATGCCAGGGAAGGCTGGGCCAGGCAGGCAGCCAGCGCTGGTGTCGCAGCCTCAGGAACAGCGGAAGGGAGCGGAGAGCTGCCGGGCCACCTCCGTGAGACCCCTCCACTCGCTGCACTCACAGACATTCTCAGGTTTTGAGTGGTGGTCCGGTCAGACAGAGGCAAGGATTCTGGCTCGACCCGGCCCTCCACATGCCCGCCCTTGCCCGCTGCACTGGGCGCTGGGCTGGGGCCCGGGCAGGGCAGTCGCCGCAGCCCCGGCTACTTGAAGGTGGACTGCAGCTCCTTGAAGGCCGCTTTCCGCTGCTTCATCTCCTCCGCCTGCTTCTTCCTCTCCTCCTGCTCAGCCTTGATCTCCTCCTCGAAGCGACTGGACTCGTTGATGGCCTGGACCTGGTGGGGAGGGGGGAGGGGGTCAAGGGTCAGCGCTGCAGGGGTCTGCACACTGCCACCGTGGGCTGTTTTCTCTGGGATCCCTTCTGCTGCATCCCACCCAGCAATACACACAGCAGCTGTCACCAGCTCCGGCCCCGGGCCAGGCACTTCATTTGCTTGAGCCTGTTTCTCCACTTAGAACCTGGTGCTCAGTAACTCTGATCTCATGGGTTCGTTGGGAGGCTTAAAAGAGATAATGTATATTTGGTGGCTGAGGCAGAACAAGATTCCTGTAAGGGTGAGTTCTGATGTGGTGTTGTCCTTCTCCTGTTTCCTGTCCAGGGAACCTAGGTGCATCCTGGTTCCGCTCATGGACCCTGGAACAGCCCATCAACACTCAGAAGCCCAGAGGGAGGCAGGAGGTGGCCTCTAGAAGGAATGTTCTTACTGTTACATGGAATGAGGGAGAAATAAGGAAAAGTGGGTGCCCTGGGCAGGCAGGAGCCACTAGACCATACCTGTCCTCTCCATCTAAGCATGTGCTGCAAGGGGAAGGTGCTGGGCATGCAGGTGGCCGCTGGGGCACCCCATGCTTCCTCCAGACTGGAGCTGGCAGGAGCAGTGTTTTTGAGAGGCCCTGGGGAGCCTGTGCTATGTTTCTGGGCTCCTCTGCTGTCTCCTGGGCTCTTCCCTCTTAAGGCCCTGTCCTTGGGGTAGTAGCTGTGTGTGCCAGGGCTGGGACAACTCAAGGTGGTCCCTGTCCCCTCTACAAAAGTACACACCCCTGTGAAAGGATCACAGCCTGGAATGGGAGGCGAAACCAGGAGTGCTGTGGGCCTTGCCCAGCCAGGTGTTTCCATCTCTGTCTGCAGCCTCAGCAGGGACAGGAAGGGGACATGCTAACCCTCAAGCTCACCCAGGCTCTCTGTCCTGGAGCTGCGGTCAGGGCACCCCCCGCCCCAGGCTCCGTGCAGTGCTCAGGCTCCTCACCTTGGCTTCGAAGAAGCTCTTGGCCCCCTTGACGCCCTCGGTGGAGACGTCGATCTCGGAGAGGCGGGCCAGCACGCAGAGCCCGCTGTCCTCCTGCAGCTCCCCAGCCGCCGCCTTGCGGAAGATCAGGAGGAACTGCAGAGGGAGGGGGCACGCGGTGTCAGGAGGGGAGGGAAAGGAGCCCCTCCCCGGCCCCAGCCTCGGGCCTCCCCTGGAGAAAGGGAGGTGTGCCGGCTCGCGGGGCTGGGAGCCAGAGGGCTGGGTCCACGCCCCTCGGTGCTCCCGTGCCCCCACTCTCTGGGTCTCTGTTTGCCCATCTGTAAGATGGGAGGTCAGGGGACTCATCCCCTGTCCTCTCAGGATCCTGGGTCACTGCAGCCTTGCTCAATCCATGCCCAGCTCCAGTCAAAACTGACGATGTGGCCTCAACCTACCCCTCATCTTGGTCTTCCACTGCTCCCCAGACAAATCTGCCCCACATTCCATTTACTGAGTCCTAAAGGTACGATGATTGTGCCCATTTTGCAGGATGAGGAGGGTTCAGGGACAGTAAAAGACTTGCCCAAAGTCTCAGTGTCAGAAGGATTTGAACACATCTGTGGACTCCAAACCCTGTACTGCCCACACCTTCCTCCCTGGCCACTTGTGTCCCCCAGCTGCCCCTGCCACCTGTCTCCTTCCCTGCCTCTTTACGCTTCCTGCCAGCTCTCCCAGACCCAGCTTGAGCCTGACTCTTCCAGAAGGCATCCCCCAGTGCCACTGCTGGCTGGCTTTCGGGCTTGCCCATAGCTCCTGTCTCAGAGTGACGAATGAGTGAGTTCCCGAGCGTGAAGTCCCTTAGCACTGTGCCCGGCCCCTCTCGGGCCTGCAGTACCCATCTATCTTGTCCGGCCCCTCCTCTTCTCTGGAATCACAGTGCTGTGTTGTCTTCCTCTGTGGTGTCTCTGCTTCTACACTCCAGGACTCTAGGAGCATAGGGCCTTTTTCTGTACCCCGCAGTCTGCACAGGTTTGGGTATACAGAAATCACTCAATATATGCTCACTGGATGAAGGAATGGATGTCCCTCCTTCTCACTTAGGGCATATCGGAATGCCCCCTGCTGCGGGCACGGGGAAGCCCCCTGAAGCCTCAGCCATTCACAGCTGGCTGTTCAATGACAATGTCATTCAGTGATGGGGGCTGGGGGTACGGGATGAGCCTCTCCCGGGACACCAAGTCCCCAGGTGTAGTCCATGGTGGGGAATGGGGTTGGGTCGGGACTTACCTCCCGGAAGCTGAGCTTGCTGTCAAAGTCCTCATCCACCTCCTTGATCATGTTTTTCAGGCCCAGGTGGGTCTGGGGGGCTCCAAGTTTCTCCATCATGAGCTTTAGCTCCATCAGGTCGATGAAGCCATCCCGCCCAGCATCGTACCTGTGAGTGAAAAGAATACATCTTGGCACACTTGATGCCTGACCAGTAAGAGAGGACAAAAGCCTGAGTATAAGGAGCCTGGGGCTCAGAAGGCATCTACTAGCAACCAAGTCATCTTGTCACAGCTGGAAGGGACCTCAGTCCAGGAGGAGTCTTGCTGTGTGGCTCGGCTTCTGCTTGGTTGCTTCTGATGACGGGGAACTCACGTGGCCTAGCAGCCTCCTGCATGTTGAACAGTGCTAACTTTTGGACAAGTCTGTGGCACAAGGAAGCTGAAATCATAGCCTCCCTGTACTGAATGTGATATGAAGAAGCAGCAAGAAAGAGTTCACAATACCATGGGGGTGCAGATTGGGCTCTGAGGTTAGCACTCACTGACCACCTCCAGGACCAGCTGGCTTACCAGCACTTCCATGGGCGCTTGAGGGACATCTTGGGCCCACCTGTCCCCCACTCCCTGGCTCCACCCTAGGGGGCAGAGCCTTGGTGAGGGCAGGGTTTCTCAACCTCAGAGTGTTAACATTTTGGGCAGGATAATTCCTTGCTGTGGGGGGCTGTCCTGTGTGCTGTAGGATGTTTATAGTAGCATCTCTCCTGAGTTGGGACTGCCAAAAATGTCTCCCAGACATCGCCACATGTCCTCTGGGGGTAAAACCATTCCATTGAGAAGCACCGACATAGAAGATGTGACACAGATGTGAAAGGTGGCCCCTGTCCATTCAGTAAGTGGCTCTTCTCACCCAGCACCCTCTGTCCTGGGGAGTCTATTTGACGCCTCCCAGCTTATGCTGTGTACTGGGTGTGTGTGTGTGTGTGTGTGTAAAAAGCACATAGTAGATGCTCAAAAAATGTTGAATGAATAAATAACACAGGAAGAATGGAGGGACATCTAAGACGGGGTCTCTGCCTTTGCTGAGTGTTTTATCCAGGAGGGAGGCAGGAGGAGGACCAGAGGTCGCAGGAGGAAGATCTACTTCTAGTTTCCAGGAGGAGGCCCAGGGTGTGTTCAAGGCACAAGCTGTGCAGGATGCCTGCAGGGAGTGGTGGAGATATGGCTGGGCTGGGTGCTGGAAAGCCTGGAACAGTGATCAGGCGATAACGATGCTTCTGCCCAGCACACTTAGTTCTCTCTCTCTCTTTAATCACCAAAGGCCTGGCTGCGACAGGGATGGGGGAGGGGAGCAGAGTCTAAATGTCTCGACATGTCTCTACTGGCCTCCTTTTGCTAAGAGTTTGGGTCAGAGATGGCCGCCAGGCCGTCCCCTGGCTGGAGCACACAGCCTGGCGGATGAGGACACTGTTTGTGTGGCCCAGCCAGGCCTTCTTATCAGGCTAACCCAACACCTGCCCTGCCTGTCTCCTGGAACAGCTGGGGACGAGGGAGTGGGGTGGGGAAAGTGGTCTCACGGATGGCAAAACAGGCTTTTCGGCACCTAAAGAAGTCTTGTGTAGTCCCTAAGGCCTCAAGCTGGCTAGGTGACAGCAGTGTGACACGGAGGGGCTGAGTTCCAGAAACCTATGTCCTGGGGGCTCAGAGATCTACATGAACACGCATCTCATTCCTGTGCCCTCTTTGGGGCTCCCAGCTCCCTTCGCCCTTCTTTAATTATACAAGAGGTTTTCAAAAAGTTCATGGAAAGATTAATATTATCTTTTAATTCCATTTTTCCATGAACTTTCTGAAGTACCTTCATACATAAGCTTTGCATAACTTTGGACATCTAATAGCAACCAATTACTGAAATCTGTCTTTGTGCTGGAAACTTCACTTACTCCTCCTGATAACCTTATTTTACAATGGAGGCTCAGAGAGGCTAAGTGACCTGCCCAAGGTAACACTGAAGTAAGGAGCAGGGCTTCCACCCCCAGTCCATTGGATTCATAAACCCGCACATTTACTCTGTGCCCAGCCCCCCACCCTCCCGCCCCACCACATGTCCTGGGGCTGCCAGCAGAACACAGATGTCTGCCTGGAGCGCCAAGGGGAGCATTTGTGCAAGGGGTATAAATAGTTCACAGGCAAGTGAGTCAGTGGTTGGAAGTGATGCAGCATGGGAAAGATGGGTCTTGGGGACCCTAGAGGGAACAGGGTCCTGAGTCCTTCTTTCCCACCACAGGGTGAGAGGGCTGGGGTGGGGGCAGATGGGCCAGAGGTCCCTGTGGGCAGTGGCATTGCCGGGGTGGTAGAGAGTGTAGGACTTGGGAGGGTCAGGAAGACTGAAGCTCCCACGGTCCAGCCTCCACCTGGAGCTGGAGGGTCCTCGCAGGGGCACAGCAGAGGGTTCTCCTTCCATCTTTGGAGCCTGTTTGCGGTGGATGGAGGGGCTGGGCTGCTGCTGCCTGACCCTGGCAGCAGCCTTGTACAAATCACACGCACTCCCCTCCACAGCGCCCCCCAGGAAAACAAAGCCCCTTTGCACTCTGAACTTGGGTTCCAAGGAAGGGCAGTGATGACATGTCAGGGCTCTGGAGCCAGGCTGCCTGCGCTCCTGAACTGCATAATGCAGCTGGTTCTCAAGTGGGAGTATATATGCCACCCCCCTGGAACACCTGGCAATGTCTGGAGACATTTCTGGTTGTCACAACTGGAAAGGTGGTGCTACTGCCATCTGGAGGCCATGGATGCTGCTAAACATCCTACAGTGCTCAGGACAGCCCCCACCACAGAGTTATCTGGCCCCAAATGTCAATGGTGCTGAGGTTGAGAAACCATGCTGGAATGCTTCTCAAGGAGTCACTGAGGATCGACTGAGCTCACATATACCAAGTACTTAGCCAAGCACCCGGCACACAGAGCCAGCTCCATAAATGGCAGCTACCACTGCTACGGTGAGATTTGGTTACCTCTGCTAAGCCCCCACTGTGTGCAGGGCACTTTCTCTTTACAACTCCTGCACTCAGCAGTCTGGCAGTTCAGGCTCAGGGAAGGGGGATTGTATCAGTGAAGGTACCTGCCTGAGATCCAGCCGGTCAGAGGTTCAGAACTAGCCCTATGGGTCCCATGTCCTGCTCTCTCTGCCACCCCACCTGCCTCTCCCTGCACCCCAGCTTTATTTACTGCTCAAGTGTATGGGTTTCTGCTGAAGCCAGGGGCAGCTCAGTATCATAGGAAGTGCAGATAAAGTGTCCAAACTTGGACGGAAATGTGGGCTCTGGATCCCTCTGTCTCTGGCAGCTCCCAGGCCTGGCTGGGCCTTGGCTCAAACCACAGTTTGAACCCCGGCCTGTATTAATCAAGGGCCAATCAATTACCGGTGCTGGGCTCCATCCTGGGCAGGCTCCAGCCCCCAGGGGGACAATGCAGGGACTGGCCACAGTGCCAACTAATCAATCACCAAAGGAAGGAGACAGAGGGCTGGGAGAAGCCAAGTGCTAGGGTGGGAGGTGGGGCCCCCAGAGGAGGCAATCTTGGAGAGGGCTGTTCCCATGAGACCCCTGTGAACGGACATCCACCCTTGGCTCTGACATCGTCTGAAGCTGGGGATGGCCTTGAAGGTCTCTGCTCACATCAATTCTGCTAAAACTAACCCGGGGCCAAACTCCAGCCCTGCCACCTGGGTGGCACTGCACTGTGGCTGGGTGACCCTGGTCAAGTCACCAAACCCCATGAACCTCAATTTCCCCATCTCAGGATTGAGACAAGGATTAAAGGAAACGATACAAGTAGACTCTTAGCACAGAGCCTGGCCCACAGTAGGCACTTAATATGCACTAACTATAATAATAACCATTTATTATTATTGTTAATATCTACCTTTAGGATTATGAAAGAATAAATGAGGTTGCAGATATAAAATGCCTAGCACATCATAGGTGCATAAACCTGTTAATTTCATTTTAATCATATAATAGCAGCTGTTATAGCAAGAGCTATGTGCCTGATACGATGTTAAGTACTTCACACATATAATATAAAAATGGTGATGATAATTAGAATAGTAATGATAAAAAACACGCTGGTTTCTCCCACAGGCTCCAGTCCTGATAGTACAGGGCTGGGAGGAAAGGGTTGTGGTGGGTTGGCCTGGAGGCAGGGGGTGGACAAGATGACCCAGGGTCCCTCCAGCATCTCCCCTTCCTCTGAAGTCCCACTTCTCCCCTACAAGGCCTGATTCAAAGATCCAGCAACGTGGGGAGGTGGAGAGACCGAGGGCCGCTGGACAGAGCCTTTCGCTTTGTGGGCAGATGGAGAGAGGGGCCTCAGCCCTGGATTGCTCTCCTGTCCCACTGCTTTCCTTCCTCTGAGGGAAGTGACAAAAGGGGTGACTGTCACTGTGTTGCCAGCAGGTGGACAACTGGTAACCCAGGAGAGAATGATGTTCTAAGATGGCTGGAAAGAGGCCTATGTCTGGCTGAGGGGGACCCTCATCCGTCAGCCCTTTCCCTGAGCTGGAATTGAGGTTGCAGGTGGCTCAGAGGACCCAGGAAAAGACAGATCAGCTCACAAGATCCATCCAGTTAGCCTGGTCTACCTGCTTCATATGTGGGGAAACTGAGACCCACAGGCAGTGACCAGCCTAGGGTCACACAGCCGGTGGCCTGTGGGACTCCAATAGCTGGCAGCTTTCCTCCTCCTGCCTCCCTCTTCTTCCTGGTCTCATGGAGGGTCCCACATTCTCGAGCTTGCAGGACCAGGGGAGGCTGGGCCAAGAGCCGGGCCTGGGGCCTGTCTGGGAAGGCTAATTCCACCGGCAGGACTGGCAGCAAAGCTCCCGGGCTGGGAGCTCAGCACTTTTCCCCAGCACCAAAGGGCCTGGCACAGTGCCCACATTCCTACCCGCCTCCCTTGAATAGTTCTCATCAGGGAGGGCTCAGCAGCTGCCGCCCCGGATGCTGGTGACAAAATCTGCTCCCATCCCCCCTTGAAAGTGGAGCAGCCAGCCACCACCCAGGAAGACCTTGCTCCTTTGGATTGAGCACGGTCCCACCCAGCGGGCTGCTTCCCTGCTCCCAGTTCTGATAACCAGCAGTCACTGGGGTGGGATGTGGCTGACTCCTAC